CGCAAAATACTTTTTTGTAATCATTTGAATATTTCACCAAGGCGACAATGAGCATTGATTTGCAGTACGTGAAATACTCAGTTTTACTTTGTTTTTTTATTTAATTATATATAAAAAAAGAAAATATTTTATTGGCTCTCTAATAACAGATATTATATCGGATGGTCGTCTTTATTATTTTTATAAATTATTTGTTACAAATAATTAAATAACAGTAATTTCCTTATATTGTTATTTTTTGAAATAAAGTAATGACACTATTTTGTAAATATTCTTCTTGTTTCAATGTTGTTACGAGCTATTCATAATACGCGTAAAGCAGTAAAAGATTATTGAGTATTGAACGTACCTAGAAATGATAAAAATGCAAATGGTGAGAACAGGATGATTAAAAAATTGTTTTAACTTCATTATGCAGCTGAATTTTATATTTGAACAATGACTTAAAAATTAACATTTAATTAATATATCTAGAATCATAATTTTACAGGTAATATTTTTTACAATAAATTATTTACAATTTTAAGATGTTTATTAACATCAAATTATCGACAGCTTTCCAAGATACGTATATTTGCATCAATAATATTAAATTGCTTATCAATTTTGTGACGTTACTACTTCAGCTTCGGTTTAGTGTTTCAAGATCGACAAATAATCATATACTTTGCTTAAACTGAAAATTGTATAAATTCATAAGGAATATATAATATTATCAGACACTGCCTTAGTCGAACATGGTATTTTTTACTCGTGCATAATTTTAATATATTTTGTATACTACACTGAGTAATTATTGATAACCAATGCTCTTCTAAAACTTGTATCACATACTTATTATTTTTTAAAATGTTTAAAAATTTATATATGATAATTCTGACTTAAAAACTATATATATATGTAATTTTTTGTCCAAAATAATCGCATTTTACACTGTATTACACGAGTGAAAAATTTTACATAAAATATTCCGGATAAAATTTTTTTTTAGAAGGGATTATAGCTTTGAATATTTTATCTCGTGCTAAACTCATCGGTCCTTCAACTTTTTCGCCGAAGTGCTACCTTCGACATAATACCATCCCTTTTCTCCCTATATAATTCGCAGCACCGTTATTTTTTATAGTTGCGGATCTTGTAACCTTATAACTCAATTCCGGAAATATAAAACAGGTAGAAATTGCATACCTTATAACTAGGAAATTACATAACTTTTTTATGGCAAGTAAATTTTCACAGATTCAAATCCTCATCACATAAAAATTTATAAATTACGAAATTCACGAAATTCACAATATTAATGTATTTACCAGTTGTGTACTTTTTATTACTATGTTCAAGTTTTAAAAATATGTCGAAACATCATGTCTACATATATGTTCTATTTATTATTACATTGTAAGTATTATTATAGCACATATGTAGAATGTGAAAACATATTCAACATAATAAAATTAATTAGAAGTCTTTAGTTCCTTTAGTTAAAAGAGCTATTCATTTATTAAAATTATATATATATATACATTGATAATAAGGCATACATATTTGTGATTGGACTCCTTATTAATATAATTACATTTTGGCCATAATCCTACTGAATACAATCAATTTACGGCTAATAAGCCATTTTTTTTAGATAGGCCTGCCATGCTCTTACTAGACAGATTGTACGTCCAGAAGAAAATTTTTGTTTGTTTTAAGGTCCTGAATTCATATTTTAAGTTTGCCGGTTTAACCCTGTATATTATAATAAAAAATAAAATTAGTCATTTTTTTTCCAATGTTCATCATTTCCAAATAATCGAAATATTGTGCCTGTAATAATTTTATTATCACCAAAAAAAATCATAGTGCATTTAATAATGTTTGTTACAATATAAAAGGTAGATGACACATAATACGTTTTGTTCAGGAACAAGATTAGCATATGGCTATTGATGGTGGCGTCTGTCATAGGCTATATTGTATAGAAATGCAATTAAGCCCATTTATTCACTAGATTGAAATGCGATTTATAATGTTTAACGTGGGACATTGTCAATTAACGTACAAACCCAGCAAGTTTACTATTTTCTATGATATTGCATGTTATGGAAAGTGCGTTATCAGGTGTTTACCACGCGACTCTTCCCAGTCGCGTTTGGTGATTTATTGTTCGACCGTGCGCTGAATGTAAATTACACGCGGACACATCCAGAATGGAATATCGACATTTTGCGGACCTTTATTGTATTTTGGCAAGACACGTCCTGTGATTTTTGTGATTTATATATGCGAGAAGAAATTATGTGAGACATACAGTATGTGCATAAAATGTATTTCTCAACGGCATACAATATTTGCGCGCGAATAAGTTTTACATATCATCTTTAAAGGTTGTTTTAATATGTATCTGCATTTTATAATTTTTCGAAAATGTAATAACATGTTTTTTTTATTTAATTGCGGCCGAAACGATATACGATGTTTAAAAGACGTCCTTATGATCTCTTTTAAGCGACGTTTACAAAAAATATAATAAAACGTAAAAATTAAATTTTAAGCCTTAAATAATAAGAAATTAACAAATTACAATTAATTATTCTCCTTATATTTGATTGTGATGAGTTAATTTTTTACGATTTTTTTAAAGCTTAGAGCTCAAGTTTTATAACTTAAAATCTGACTGTAAACGCCACTTTAAATGCATAGGAGATAACTTTCTTTTATTACATAAAAATAATAAATAAATTACTTATCACTCTTCAACAATGACAATTCCGTATTATCATTATTGGTTTTATTCTTACTTGTGTAATTTCGATAAAAATTAATCGCAAAATGTGAAAAGATATTATAATTCACAACTAGTATATCGAAATATCATATTTTGGAAATTCTTTCAAGAGAATGCTTGTAAATTCATAACAACTTAATCCTTGAATAAATTATCCAAAAATTGAAATTAATTCCTTATGATTAATCGCATATGAAATCTATATTTACAATTAGATTATTTTTATTTAAAGACAACATTTAGTATTTTTATTACTATATAAGTACTATAAGAATTATATTAACGTCATTTAAGAAATGCACATATCGAGAACTTACAGATTCTAAATAATATACAAATTGTATATTATAGATGTGCGGTATTTGTGATCGGAAATGTTTAACTCTCAATTATATAGTTATGAAAACTATATCTAAGTTCTAAATCTTATCTTATTTGAAATACAGAAAACAAGTAAACTTCTGTTTTTCAGCGATTGATAGAAGAAAAAAGTGTAAAGTTCTTCTTATCTACAATTTAGAATCTCATAGTACCAATCGTATCAAAACATATATATTGTTCATAAATTTTCTCTTCGGATCGAAATGACCGTTGCTATAGTCGAGAGTTAATTAATATTAGGCTAAAAAAATTGCTAAAGCACTAATCAAACGTAATATGCATAGCATACTGTCTTCTAAACAAAGATGAACAAGCGTTCGTTAGCCAATTTTTTTATTGTTATCATGAAATACTTAACATTTTATAAACTCTAAATGAATTGGTATTGAATATTTTGTTCCTTGATTTTTAAATTAATTTCGACGAATGAAATATTATCATATATTAAATTTGCTTATTTAAATAATAAAATCTGATTTAATTTAAATAAAAATAGCAGTTTAATTGTTTTACCAGTTCAGTTTAATTGTAGTTTAATTAGATTGTTCATCAATTCTGCTAAAAAACGTTGTATCCTTCGGAATTTCACCGGCTTTATAGCTGTTCCTGCATATCGGTTTTCCGACTAGTTTGTGCTCTTCATAGGAGGACGGAAAGTAATTTGAAGCAAACAATACCTCGCCTGTATAGGCTGTCTAACAAATTGAATTTTGAATATTACGTCTATTTGCCGAATGCCTATCGTGATACGCTTTCACTGCAATACGTGGTAATCATTTAGCGTTTGACGAGAATTGTGTAAGGGTTGAGACAAGAGAACAGAATGCGGATGTATTCTAGAAATCCGTCCGTATCCGTTTCCACGAGAACAATAACGTGATTCAATGTTAGCAATGCAAAAGTTTAGAGATGTCTATTAATTCTGACAAAAAATAGATATTGATTTATTATTTTTAATATATATTGCTAATTTATATTTATATTCCTTATTGTTAATAAATGTTTAAAATGTAAGATATATTTTAAGAGATATATAAGATATATAATATAACATTAACAAATTATATCATCTTACCTTATAATGCATGATATTTAAATATTTCGATCTTACATCTAAATATTTGTTAACAATGGATATAAATATGTATTGTATTAAAGTACATATATTTTCATATCTTAAAATTTCGACATTATCTAAAAACCTTATTATCTAACAACAAATATATTTATTTTATAGGTTTTTTATAGAATATTTAATATATAAATCGTTAGTATACAATTTGTCCATTCATTTAATCAAATCATTTTATAATAATAATCTGTCTTGACTTAAAACTTAAGTAGTCTCTACAAAAGATTATATAAAAATACAGAAAATGAATTACACGGCGCATTTTCACAAGACTATTTCTTTGGTAGAACAATTTTGCTCGGAAATTGATCAATTAACAATCCAATGTCGTTGATTACAATCAGCTGCACATTTCTTCAGAAGAAATAATAATTTTCCTCCAAAGAAATTCAATTCGCTAATTGTGCAATTGACCAGCTTATTGAATTTTCGCAACAACTTTAAGGCCACTTCATAATATTGAAAGGCTTTCATGATAATGACTCTGTTATGAAACTAGTCGTAAAACTAGACAAGTGATTCACTAAGAAAAACTGAGAGAAATGAAAATGTTAAGATACTTAGCCAATCTTTTAATGAGTGCAACGTAAATGAGATGTCGATGATTACTCAGCTGAGCTAATGGATATAAAAAAGAAAGCGAAGTGTCGCATGGTAAAAAACGGCTGAGTTCGGTAGGTGACTAAGGTGACAGTGTTCAGCCTCGCGGGACTAATAATGATCGTAATGATGATCAACGTCTTGTTGACGATCGTTTCGATGGCTGTTAAGTACTTTGGCGTGAAATCCATCCTTGCCCGCGCGGTACTTTACCGTTCTAACATTACCGTCTGGTTCCTTCACAGTATACTCCCCGAACACGTCCGAGCCTGCAAAACATCGACGTACGAGTTATTTGTCTTACGTTGCAAAGCTGGCACATTTGGGACATGCGTTATCGCTTCTCTTTATGAAGACGAATTGAGTTTTAGATAAATGTGACGAAACATAAAACAATTCAAAAATATCCCATTATACTCCATTGATGATTTCTCTACACTATAATACATTTAAATAACTATAATGAAAAAGATATAAACTATTAAAATGTATGCATTATTTCGATTAAATTTGTATTATTTAAAAGTACATAAACTGAAGGAATTCCTTTATATATTCAGAAAGTTCTTTATGTGTATAATTTGTTTATTTAATTAAACAATTATAAAAAGATTTGTAAATCAAAATAATAATTTCATGTTTATATGTTTTGTTTGTTGAATTTGTTCATATTTAGGCAAATTTGAAATTAATAAATGCGGAAATTAGATATGTATATATTGTATATAATAATTCCGCTTACGTGATTGATGACTCATAATATATTTGTTATGATTCTATTATTTCATGGATGGATTTTATGTAGTACAACTGATGTATGTAGTACAACTTAAATGTAGAAACATGCGGTTCATCAAACATTGAATAAAGATAATTATTTAAACGAGATTATTTTATTAAATGTAATAATTGATTAACTGCAATTTAATTTAACGTTTTTACGTATGCATGCGTTTAATCTACGCAATTGTGGATTTCCGCTAATGCTCCATCAAAATATAAATTTCTTATAAGCTATTCAGCGATAGCTGTATAGCATACTTCAATATACGTTGTTAAATTTAGATCATGTTCCCGCTTTAAAATATAACGTAAACGAGATTTGTAATTGGCCCTAGTTATTCTAATTAGTTTCGCGTTGGTGAATACCGCGTTTGCAGTTGCTCAGAGACTCTTCTATCAATAGCTGCTATCTAAGCTTTATATGGTTATAAACTTTTCAGCCGGTGCGCGTCTGCCTTTGAAGGCGGGAATACTGAAGCGTGGTTTTTTAGCAGTACACTTTTATCCTTCCTAACTTTTCTCTCGGCGCGTTGCTACGAAATCTCTCGCTCCAGTTAAAACTTGACGGCGCTCGATGATCTCATTTTTGTATAGAGAAAGTCATGCTTTGTAAAAATATCATTACGAAATTATGAGAAACGAGACAATTAAAAACGATATCTGCTTTGATATTATGAAAATTTTCGCTTTATTCTTGATAACATTTGCTTTTCTGAAACAAGTGACTGAATTGCAATTATTATGTGCAAGATAGATTGATTATAAAACGAAAAAAATATATTGTATATATGTATATATATCGTTTTCTTAAAAAGTGACAATTCAAAAAGTTAAATTTTTTAGTAAAGAGAAAGAACTATTTTTTAATTTAACAAAAAAATATTGATTAATCAAATAATTTTGACGAAAAGAATATACTTTTAAAAACATGATCAAATGTCATTTTTGTTATTTTTGTTTTATGATCTTTTATAAAAATTACTCTTTTTGAATGACGATTTTAATGACCATCAAAATTATAACAAATCTGGAATAATTAAATTCATTAATCAAGTAATAACTCGAAAAAAATATCAACAGTTAACGTTATCAGTTAACAGTTATCTTGATCAATTATATTGTACAATATAAAATGACTAAATTCAAAATAAAATAATTTTTTTTTCAAACTTCGATTATTAAAACTAACTTTAAAATGTTCTCTGTAGAAAAGACTTCCTTCTTATTTATTATACAAAAATCACACGATTTAATCTATTAAGGTATTAAAGTATATATTCGTGTAGAACTTATTATGATTTCTTTGATAATCTTAAGAGCGATACAAGTATTATGTTTGGTAGACAGACTATGAAGTTAAATTTACATTTGATGATTGATAGAGTAATCCTTACCTAACTCAAAGTATTAAGTCCAAAATCATGTTTTTTTGAGTTGCATCACTTTGGAAATATAAGGGAACGATATAAACTTTATAAATAATTGTATTTAAAATAAAAATTATAGGAAATCAGAGAAAATTTTCTTTACATACATAAATAATTTATATAATTTTTTCTAGGTATGTAAAATAAAATGATATTGAAATTAGGAGCAAATGGCAACACAGGTACGATCGCACTAAAGTTCTCTTTTATTCAAAATCATTTTCAACATTGGCAAACGGCATTAGTAAAATATTCTTAACACTGCCAATCGTTCGTTCGATGAATATGTAAGTCAAATCAAAGGAATTATTATGCCGCGCCTTTCCATTGCGTATTCCACGAGTAACATTATAAAATTGTTCAAGCAAAGGTCACGTTGCCACTTTTATTCGCACAATCAGTCTGTCCTACGTTCACCCCAGTACATTTGTCAGCTTTTTCTCCCTCGGAGCTCAACATCGCGATTCCGCGTACGTAAGTAGGTTATTCTTATTCTCCCCACTTCGCAGTAGATACGAAATGACAAGAAGGATCCTCCTAAAGCACAGGAGATTAATCTCCATTCAAACTACGCAAACCTACCGTCTCTGTGCTCCTTTTGACCGTGATAATCGCCCGTATAGTGATCTTCAACCCCATACGAAAAGGCATAATGGGGTTGAGCGACGTAATCTTCATGAGAACCGTCGTCGTCATTCCAACTGACTTCGTGTTCGGTGCCCGTCACAGGACCGTGAAAATGTTGGAAAGAGTGTGCATGTCCTTCCGGCTTTGCATTGATCAGATGTAACATCGAAAGCATCGATACAAATAGAACGAGCTAAAACATGTTAATTTCATTAATCAAATTGTAATTCTGTGAATTGAACATATAAGATATACAATTTAGAAGACTTAGAAGAATTTAATAGACAAAATGTTGAGAAAGAAAGAGAAGCATATTATTAATATTTAGATAATATCGAAAGAAGTTATAAAAAAATACAGTAATTTAACTAAAACCCTTAGAAAGATAAGAACTATACAATACACAAAGATTCTACGGAATATGATTGTAATGAATTGTATTGATTAACAGAATATAAGAAAGTCAGCGAATTATGTTATATGGACAAGAGAAAACAGCTAACAATAATTAAAGAATCCACACTCTAATAAAATATAAAAGAAAAAATAAAAGTTAAATTAATTGTTAGAAAAAAGAAAATATAAATTAAGAATAAAAAAGATAATAACAAATTTTTTTGTTAAAAAAATAAAGAATGTAAGCCGTATTTTTTCAATATTTATTATAATAAAAATATTTAATAATTAAATTATTAATTAAGAGTAAAAATTTAATTAAAATACATTATATTAAGCAGAACCTATTGTTAAAATGCTTGCGTTCATCTACTATCTTATATTTTACTTTTAAAGTGTACATTTTATGATTCATGTTTAAGAACATACTTCTTGGAAGCAGTTTAAAAAAAAGAAATTATTTTATTTTTTTTTTATACATTACGTGAAAATTCTTGCGTATTTTTCTATATTTTTCTTATAGATATTTCTTTAATTGTTTCTTCACCGCAATCTCTTAACCGCAATCATATTCCAAACATCCGCTTTCTATTGTACGAAGATCGAAATGTGCTGACACATGCGGCTTTAATGACTTTCTGCGAAGAGATACTAAAGTTGGCATGCAGTCTGAGGATGACATGGGAGATAATCGCGCGATATGCACTCACTTCGGAAGTCATGATGCCAATTACTGTCGTAGATCGTGTCCCCTTTCGCGCAAACGTCTGATTGATCCGCGATCGTCTCAAAAACTGCGCGATTCACCCGATGCCATTGTCTCTTTTATAGATCTGCACTTCAAGTTTCCTCTTTGCTTAATTCTTCTTTGGATCCATGCCCGAGAGTTCGGCTAAGCGCTCCCGCGGACGTTGCAAAACACAATTATTCAACCGGTCCGGCCGGCGCAAAAAGCGCCGCGGTGCTCGCTCAAGCGCGCATCGGCCAATCCCGGACTAATGGAGCTTGCTCGTTGCGGAAGAAGAGCGAAAAAATGGATAGCCGGACTCGTTCGTTTCTTTTGCGCTGCGACACGCGCGTATCGATCAGGATGCTTGGCGATCGATGACATCGAACGCCCGTCACGCGCGACAACGCTCACGTCATGATGCTGGATTTTGTACCGGCACATCGAAAAACTACTCCCCACGGACCATTTCTCTTAATGCGCGTCCTTCCTTACGCAAGTTCCCGTTTGATATACCCAGGCGCTGAATCGACGTAGATGATGGAACAGTAGAAACGACAGGGACAAAGAAAATCGTACAGATATCGCTTTCGCATCACCGAATAATTGAAGCATTATGCTTTCGTCATACTTTAACAGTACAGGCTGTTCATGGCAGTCGTATAGAGATATTAGAGGAATGGAGGAAGTTACAGAATAGTATTTTGTTTTATTGAAATAACTCAATAGATATTCATGTGACGTAACTCTTTAGCACAATTTTCTTAGATAGAAAGTGATATCTAATTGTACTATAGAGTAGCGAAGTTCTTTGAACATACAGAATAAATCTAATTTTCAAAAATTGGAGGGAAAAATAGCAGGTGAGATGGAAATATCACCAGTTAGTAAGTACGTATAACTTTATTTGCTCTGACATTTTGTTATTAAATTTAGTTCGATTACATTATTTAAAAGTCGTATTCTTAGGCCTTCAATCTAGAATAAAGTTACAAAATTAATGCTTCTTAACGTACATTTCAAAATTACATAAAGAGTACACATTTGACCGTTACTTACAAAATTAAAGTGCACCTTTTACGACAATGCAGTAAACGGTAATGATCCGTAGCCATGTTGTAACCTCCAAGCAGACTGTGAAGAAATAAATTTGACGATTGCCCCCAAAATACATCTCAAGCTATGCAAGATAGAGATCCTTGAGTTAGAAATAGAATCTATTATGTAGTCGGATAAATTATTTTAAATGAAAATGAATCTGTATGTATACATATAATAGTTATTGTTTAATATTTGTTTGATTATTTTTGTGTTTTGTCGAAGCTTATTGAGTATAATAGTAAGTTTTTTTCAATTTTGATTTGTAAAAACATTCAGTTGTGATTTATTAAATCGGTCCAGATGGATTTTATAAATTCTGTTCAATATCGAATAAATCGATCTTTCCTGTACCCGACAGACCCGCGTCTGAAAATTCCAACGCGATACTTTACGTCGTACAGATAAAATAACAATGTTTTGAAAAAAATTTGCAGAATACTTGATACTACTGAGTGGTCCTCGTGTATTAACAAAAAACGAAAGACTCCATTTGCTCTCACGTGTACAGAGGGGGTTAGTGCAGAACGGAAGGGTGTGTGAAAGGAGAGAGAAATGAGGGGAAAGGGGAGTGGTCGGTACGGGTGTAGGGACGACGAGAGGACAGATTCTGGCACACAATGTGCTGGAGCGGCGGAAGTGCTCGAAGAGGCGCTCAGGTTTTGAGTTATGACACTTTTTGAGTCGAGGAGTCGCATTGTGAATGGCGCATCCGGGTCCAGCGTAATATCCTACCTCGATCTCAGAGCTGGGTGGCGATAAATCTGCCTTAAATAAGATTTGCCGGCGACACTCCGACGAAATAAAAGGAACGAAGACGGCTGGTGACGCAGGTTGTAGGGATGCCAGCTTGTTACTTCTTCGACTTCAACCCGTTGATGTGCTTCGCTCGCCGGTTCATGCCGGAGTTAATGAGTAGCCTGGAGTCTTCGTCTTCATCCTAATTGCGAGCGCGCTACAGCAACGACAGCAGCAACAGCAGTTTCTTTGCTCTCAATTTCTCGTCTACTGTGATGACTCTTGCCGTATAAAGGAAATGACGAAGTGCACCTTCGCTGGGACCCCTTTTTACGAATTTTCGCACTTGAAGTTTATTCGTCTATCTCTGTCAAATGTAAATTATACAAATAAGTAAGTGATAATGCAAGCCATACCAAGAACACGTCATCAAAATTATAATTACTTCAATTGTAACAAATGTTTCAATACGTTTTAAATGTAAATTTTAATATGTCCTTTCCTCTCGAAGTATTAATTAATTTTAATATGTACTTGATAATTAATATTTACATTATAAATAAACTTCTTTTAACAATAACCGTTTTCAATACCATTCTTTAATATTATTAACACAAATATTAAAAGTATTAAATAAACATGCTATTAACATCGCAGTTTATAAATTGTAACTTTATATTTTGATTATTATCTCTGTACACGGATAATTTGAATGTGATGTCCTAATTATTATTGTTTATTATTCTTGTTATTTTATTATTATAACATAAAAATTACGTTATCGTATTAATCTCAATAGCAGATATTATGTCATATGTATTCCGACCATATACATCCTATGCGGAAACGTTCCACTTTTTATTACATTTATTATTTTGTGTTGACAAATTTCAAGGGAAAAAAAATTTGTAGGAAAAATATCAAAGGAATTTATGTTAAAGCGAATTCATTTGGCTGACAAATACAATTTTTTTTTTCATCAAGCTTAGTTTACAAGAAGTTATTTTTAATAGCTAATTATTTTACCACAGCAATATAGATCTTTTCCTTGAGAAGGTTTTACAGGAAAAATTAATTTCAGATTGGCCAAAGAATCTCTAAAAAATAGTAGACGAACGACGTTCTGTATATGAATCTATTATTTCCTTTTAGTCTGTTCGTAACTAGAATGTGTTACAGTAAATTAATTAAGAGTTCATTTCGAAGTAATTAATGCTCGTCGAGTGAAGAAATTCACGATTCTATCTAGCGCATAAAACGGGGAGTTATCATATCATGCGAATACCCGAATAAATGCTGCAGAACGAAAACGACGGCAGCTCTGCGATTGCAAATTATGTATATAGTTTCTCGAGTTTTATAGTCTCTTGGAATTATGAAGTTGCATTATGAAAGTGACGGCAATAAATCAGGCTCAAGATTAAATTGTAGGAAATATGATTTGTTGCTGACGTAAAATAGCGGGGAAACGCGTAAGAGAAATTCCAGTAGTTTACGTCTGAGTTTATGTTGATGTATGTGCTTTTTACACGATAATATGCATTAATTATTTACTTCGCATATTTATAAATTATTGTTTGCTCTAAAAGCAACGTCGCGGAAAAATTAGAACTATAAAGCTTAAACTTAAGTTTTAATTACTTTTTCTTTATCGAACACATAGCACTAATTTTTAATATAAACAGTTCTTTTTTTATAAAATGACAATAAAGAAATATTGTATTTCAAAGTATCAGATTATAAAATTAATATACATATAGTTGAATCAAGGAAAACAAGGAATATTTTTGCTAATGAAATATTTAATCAATTAAGGAACATTAATTAGAATTCATTACATAAAGCATCGCTATTAATTTGTTTTCACAGGAAACGGGATTAAACGCTAACGACAATGAATGTTGTTCTGTGCAAGGTGTATAAACGATGTAATTCGGCAATTCCATGACAACCACACGATTAGTAAAGTCTCGTCCACCACCAGCCGCGATAATTGTCATTTCATTTCGCGGACAATTATTGGCGTATCTTCGGTGCGGACATGTCAGCCGCACTCGCGTGTGCAATCCCCAGACAAATTTTGTAATTTCATCGCTCGCGCGCGCGCGCGCATCATATGGGCCATCGAGACCACTCTATGAAATGCAATCCGTGTTTCCGTCTGCATCCTGTGGGACAGGCTCTCACGACACGAGACAGTTCACGCGTGGAAACAGGACAAATTGGTTGGCGCGTACATTAGACGATAAATCACCATATTTCATTTTATTTTACTCTTTCCCATCGGGAAAATCTGTGGCTCGTATGCCCGCATTTCCGACTGTCACACCTCGTCTTCACGTTTGCTTTGCTAGCAGCAAGTCTGCACGCACATTATATAATGAACGGTGACTCGCTTAACGAACTATCTCTTTATCTATTTTGCGAGATGTTTGATTTTATAATACCTTTGAATAAATTATACCTTTATATATCTATAAATCATCGATTGTTATTGACAATATTATTAATTGCTAGTGATATGTTTGTTCGTTTATGCGTGAAATTTAACCAGACATTAGTATTAATTTCAATAATATTATATTTTAACACACAATTACATTAAAATAATAAATTAATAAATCCTAATATATTTGTGTAAGTGGTAAATACAGTTTAAATCTAAACACTTTTTGGGGTTTTTAAATCTAAATTAAATCTAAAACGCCCTCGATGGACGTGAAAAAAAGCTACTCTCAAGGTAAATCCTAGAGATCACAGCGTTATGTTCATCGTCTGCATAACGCGACACCGAGATGCTTCCTTTCCTTTTATCCGCGGTCGCGCACGCGCCAAGATATCGTAACTATTCCGCACGCTGTAACTACAGTCGAGTGTCTTCGGGATAAATTCCAAGGAAATTGTTCCGCCCAGAGAAAGACGAATAGTTCTGTTTGTTCACGAATTTCGAGCCGTCCTATTCGCCAACAATTCTCACCGCGCTTCTCTCGGTCGTTTATGGGTCAGAATCTTAAGCTTCAACATCAGCTGTATAAGATGTAACACGATGCGACGTGCCATTGGGTCGCGTCGCGTCACGTTTTGATGCGGTGCAGGACATCCCCTTGACCCTTATTTACAGCCAGGAATCTCAAAATAACTGAAGCATCCTCGTGCGCC